CACACACACACACACACACACACACACACACACACACACACACACACACACACACACACACACACTCCACACATTTTGCTCGGAGACACAGAGCCGACAGTGTATTGTGTCGGCCCGACACAATACATGAAATGTAATGGGAGTGCTGCTCATTCCCCCTTGTTGCTTTGCAGGCCGTATCGAATGACGTAGTGACATGGCACTGCCGACGCGGCTATCACTACAGCTGCTGCTTCAGCAATTCTGAGTTGTCTGAGTGGCGCCTCATCACTCAGCTCAGGCTTCAAGCACAGGCCCCACTGAAAAAACGCCACCTAAGAAGAAATCATGCACGTAAGCCTCTGGTGTCTTGTCTGGTGTGTCTTCTTTATTTCTGTGTTTTCTGTATGAATGGCTCTTGTATTTCTTGAAATGCGCCACAGCTTTTCTGCAAGAAAATATGGGGTGTGGGCACCCTATGTTTGATGCCTCTTGGATGCAGTGTTCCTATAAGCTTTTGGGGTATTCATCAAAGCGGCTACTCAGGGTGCTCCAGTTATCAATATCCTGGCACGCCAAACTTGTTGCAGCGCTTGTTGTATTTTCGCTTTGCCTGGCTTCAACATTCTGACCATGCAAACTCTTATTGCTGCTGCTGCTGCTCAGATTGCTGGTCCACTTGCCGCTCCTCCCGCTGCTCTTGCTATTGCTGCTGCTGCACCTTTTCCTTCCATGACATGAAACACGCACATCCTCCTTATTCACCCAGCTGCAGGGGACGCACTTTGCCACTGCATCCTCCCTGTCCTGAAAATACTGCATCTGCAGCTCAGAAAGCCGTGTCCGTGCCTCCTATGAGTATTTTTTCCTGAGAAGTGGGGTTTTTTGTTTGCACATGGGAAGCAATACTGCTGCTGTAGCATCTCCATTGTCAGATATTCCGCCTGGAGTTTGGTCTCAGGCCTCTGCGCAACCAGTGGGAGACAGTGGCCGCCGTGTTGTCAATGACTTCACCTTCAGTCGTTATTGTGTTTATTTCATGGCTCCTACTAGTAGAAGCTGCCATCTGTGTAGTTCCTCAATGGTCACCACAGCGGATTTGATTTTGTCCCTCCAGCACACCTATCAGTTGCAAGCATGACCATGATGACTCTCTAATAAGCCAAGAAGTAAGCCAAAAACTAGGGGCTGACCAGGCTGGCTTAATGAGTAATCAGGGAATCAATAGACAAAAGCATTACCAAGATGGGTTTCTAGATAGCCAAGGAGTAAGCCGTAAATGCAACGCTTACTAGTGCCAGTTCTCTGGTCAGCTGGGGGAACAGCTTCACCCCCAGCCTTAACGACAGGATAAGTAGTAAGCTTTGGTAAGCTTGAGCATTTTGATCATCATGCTTGGATGAAGTGGGGTTTTCCAGGCATGCTCTCATTCCTGTTTTATTCTTACAAACGAACCAAATTTTCAATATAGCCCAGCAGTCATGCGTTTTGACTGAGTGGCTCTTTCCTTGTAATCCTTGTAATCCTTTGGTAAGCGTGCGAGTCACCAGCTAACCTGTGTCAAAGCCTGCGCTGGTAATGCTTTTTTAATAGATTTGGGCCGAATAGCAAGAAGCATTACCATCCATGGCTTACCATAGCTTAAAGGTAAGCCGTCGCTTACCATCTCAAAATTATCAATCCATCTTACTTGGTAAGCCATGACCAAGTGTCAGCTTACTGGCGAGCCAAGTGGAAAGCACATCGTCAAGCTTACCAGCCCTGCTTAATTAGTAATTAGTACACCTCAACCCTCATAAGCATTAACAAGATTGCTTTCCAGTAGACAAAGAAGTAAGCCAAGAGCACCAGACTTACCAAGGTCAGCTTACTGATAAGCCACTTTGGAAGCGCAGCGCTAGGCTTACCAGGCTTGCTTAATAAGTAATCAGTGAATTTATAGAAAACAGCATTACAGGATAGCTTTCTAGTAAACTAGGGAGTAAGCCATAAATACAAAGCTTACCGGTACCAGCTTCCTGGTAAGCTGGGGGAAAGGCTTCACCCCAGCCTTAGCAGGATTTGAAGTAAGCTGTGGTAAGCCTGTACTTTCCAGGTGATCAGTGTTAAGCCTGCTCTGGTAATGCTTTTTTAAATGAATTTTGGTCCAAAATCATAGCAAAAGGTAAGGTAAGGTAAGGTTACATCGCTATATCCGCCTACGAGGGCAGCTGAGCGGAAACACAGACCTGGAACTAGACAAGTCTTCGAAAATGTGTATAGAAATGTCAAGTGTTGAGAAACATGCGCTCAAAGTACCACATAAATAGCAAAAAGCATTACCATCCATAGCTTACCGTGAAGCGACGACTTATACCATTAAGTGGCGGTAAGCCTGGTAAGATTAGATTAGGTTAGATTTACATTTGGGGACCTTCAGCTAGATTGTTTGACTGATCGGCCTGTGACTGGTCCTTGCCAGCCAACATAATATCCATAAGCTCAGAAATAAACAAATAAAGCTTGTCGTTGTGTTGCAAGAGGAAATCCTGCACACCCTGGACACTAACTTGCTGTAAATAAGGTTGTTCCATTGAAAAAACACCTGAGAAGCAGTTGAACAGGTAAGCATACTTTCTCCTCAAATCACAAACAGCTGCGTTCCTGCACGTCAAAAGGGCATGGACTTCATCCTGAATCTCAGCACTAGAGCAGCAATCACACACGATTGAGCCTGGTAAGGGGGGGTCGGTAATGCTTTCCAACATTCCAACGTGGAGTGCCCTTCAGGGTTTGACAGACTTGCGCAATCAGTTCCATCATTTGTTCAGCTGTGCACCTCCCAGTTGTCCAATACTCCTCAGAGACTTCATGAACCAAGCTTTTGTCTTAGAACTATGCCAAACCAAACTATCTGGCTGAAAGTTATGTCCCCTTGTAAACCTTGTAAACCTTAGAACTAGCCAAATCGCGTCTGCATACTGCAGATGCTGTGCCTGACTTGCGAGCACTGCTTTCATTTTTTACTTGACCCAGTCCTAGTAGGCCTTGTTCTTCATTGCCTATCCTCATGCATGGAGATGTGGCTCTTCCTGAAAAAGAGTAGTTTAAACACCTCGGTATGCTTGTTGACAAGCACATGAATTTGAAGGTGCAGAGGACTTTGCTGTGCGGCCTAAAATGGCTGCCCAACAAAGAATTTTGTGCATGAACATGGTCTGAGGAATAGGCCACACGCTCTGATTTGGCTCCCTAAGGTATATGACATTCCGGCCGGGATGTATACGTGCCAAGTGTGGGAAACTGAACTCCTACAAGAAGGCAGTGAGTTCAAAAGCCAGTTGCAGAGAAGGCAATTGTGCTCTCTAAGGCGTTTTCTAGGTGTGAAGAGTGCTGCCACGAACTGGCCAGTACTGTGAGAGTGTGGCCAAGAGCCTATACATTTTCATTGTTTCAGGGCCATTGTTAGTTTTTTAGACAGTATGCTTGATTCAAACAGTGAGACATTACGAAGAGTGTTAAAAGCGGATTTATGCCTGGCTATTAGGGAAGAGTCTCGTTGGTCTGCACATGTGTCTACAGCCTTTGATGGCATGCACCATGAGGACATGTTTAAGTAGAAGATGCTGAGTACTTCTAAGATTTTCAAGCAGGATTTCTTAGGGGATTTGAGGTAAAGGCAGCAAAAGATATGGAGGGAAGCGGATGCTATAAGTCCCCGAGGAGTGCACAGGAAAGCAATGACTTACCATCGTTTGTGCGGAAGGCCTTTACATGAAACAGCGCGCACACACTTTTGTGTCCCAACATGTTTTTTTGAAGATTTTGATGAGGGAGTCATGAGGAATGGAAGGAGGTTTAGGTTTCATGTCCACTACTTGAAGGTCGAATCCTGTAGATGGCTGGGTGGTTCAAACATTTGTGACAAGTGTGAGTGTGCTGGAGTCCAGGACGAGATACATGTTCTCTTACATTGCAATTGCCTGGAGATGTGAGCTACGCAGCAAATACAACGACTTCTTCATTGATCTTTTCAAACCATTACATACTATTGCCCAACTACCAAACACTGACCTCAATCTTTTCTTGGCAAACTACCACGGTTTGACTGATCCTGCCCATCTGACCTGCTCAGATGTCCTTGTAGGCATATTCAGCAATAATACTTTCTTCCTTTCCCTTCCTTCCTTTTTTAAGATCCTGAGATCAATACTTTCCTAAATTAAGACTCGTACAGGTTTCCAGAATTTTTGACAGAGTTGGTTTCAATTTTTGATGCTGGTTGAGATTGCTTCACCATCAGCCGATCAGCCAGAGTCTTGGGCTGTAAGCCACCCTTGTAACCCTTTTTTTCTTGAATTGGTCTGGTGACAGGCCTCTAAGTTTCCGCTCCGTTCTGTTTCAGCTGGTGTCCCCAGCTCTGCTCTGCCGTTTTGTTTCAGCTGGTGCCCCCATCTCTGCTGCTGTCCTCCTGCTCCAAGCTCACTTTGCATCCGCCGGGACTCGAACCCGCGTCTCCTCCACCGGGACTGACATTTTGTTGAGGTATAAGGGAAGGCTGGCCAACCACTTGGCCACGCTAGCCCTAGCTTTTTTAGCCTAGGTTGGTACGTTCTCCGCTCAGCTGCCCTTGAAGGCGGATATAGCGTGTAACCTCACCTTACCTAAGTCTCCGCTCAGCTGACCTATTAGATGGATAAAGGGACGTACCCGTACCCGCCATCTTGTCTTTGTTTCACCCTACAAATGTTTCAGAAAGGGCCTCCTGGCTAAAGCTGGCCCCAGTGCAAGAGCAGGGCAAGACGTTGGTTAATGTCGTGGGAAGTGGAGGCCAAATTGCCGGAGTGGACATCTGCACTTCTCCTTCTCTTGGCCTGAATAAGTGCTCACCCTCAGTTTCAGTGCCGTCAATTGGGACTTCCTGTGTTGCACGCGAGGGTCTATGCAGCACAGGCTTCTCCCTTGCTATTGTCTTACGACTCTCTTAGTATCTTCTGAAACCTCAGCGGTGTTTCTTGCGCAATGATTTGTTCGAATCCAATCGGGCAGCATGGTCTTGATTGGAGGCCTCCGATCCCCTTGTAACCTGTTTTTGGACGCACAATGGCACTTTGCTAACATCACCAGTCCCAAGAACTCGAAGAAGGCAAGCTCAATTGCCTGGCCATATCATCTGACAAGCAAGAGAGGTGTGTGGCCCAAATCGCAGAGACTGATGAGTATATATCCTTTTTGGCTGTCACTACGTGCTGCTTCCCTGAGGTGTAACAATCAGCGCTGACATTGAGCACACACCTCAAACCAGGGGTAGAGAAGTCCTTCCTCGAGATCCCATTTGTAAATCAGTCCAAAAGATTATGACAATGTCCCAATCCACTTGCACAGTGGCAGAGCATGGGTCCGAATCCATTTGCACAGTCGCAGAGCATGGCTGAGGCAAGGTACCAAGGCTCCATGCCAGCATTTACTGCTTGAAGGTGAGCACAGTCCTCAAGCTTTCTCCTGAGTGGAGGAGGTCAAAGGCCTTGTTGATGTCAGAGAAGTCCATGTTGTGCCTGCGTGCGAAGAGGAAGATTGATCAGAGCACTCAGCTCAGAATTTTCTCCCAAGCTATTCAAAACAAGTAGGGTGTTACACTCCGGATCATAGAAGAAGGGACGTAGCTGGTGCTGCTCCTGCTACGGATGCCAACCCACCTCATGAGGTTTGCTCCTAAAACAGACCCAATCATCAGGTAAATTGAAATGAAAAATGCAAGAGGGGCTGCGCCCTCCCTGCACCCCCCTGCTTCTGCATTAGCAGCAGGCCTCCTACTCCTGCTTACAAACCAAGCATTGGAGCATACCCCTTTGACGCAATCTCATGTGAGCAGAGTTGCATCCAAGGTATGAAGAAAAAAGTGCACAGGCAGACTTGCGGAGACTGGAGTCATACCTCTCCCTCAACCCCCCTGTAGGAAGCTTCTGCATCCCATTGTTTCCACTGCTCCACATTGCTCTTCGACCGTAATAATGGAGTTTTAACAACGTCCCACAATTCTAAAATCGAATCAAAGACACCGGATCAAATGCTTGAATTCAGTGAAACCATGGCTGGTTAAGCAGACTTGACCGAGCAATTGCGAGCAGCTTTGGAATCAGCGTGAAATGAGCTTTCAAATGGTGGTATCCTTATGACAGAGAAAGCTCCAATGGCTCAGAGCTTTTCTTCTTTGAGTGTTGACTGCAGTGAACACTAGGGGACTACGCCCCAGGGGGCCCGCCCCAAAAATACGAATTCATCCATACCACCATATGTTGCAGGATCATTATCTTGATTCGTTCCTGTGATCAAATATTTAAATCTCTGTCCAGTCATAGAAATGATTGGACACCGTCGCTCAGCTCTTCAGACCTTGTTCACCTCACCATGTTTGCGAGGGCTCAGAAAACCAGCTGCGGAAGAACCAGCTGCTTTTGCTCAGCACAAGGCGATGCGCAGGTAACCATGGCATTGGCAGCACAGGTGCTGTGCGTTGTGTCAAACTGCCCAATGAGCCAGATTTCCAGATTTATACAGCTCCTTTTTTCTACAGATGCGCAGTGGAGAGCACAACAGAGAGCACAGCTGCAAAGTATGCCATGCAGCTCTGTTACCTACGTGATGTACTTGTCCAGCATGGTCTCTCCCCTCATGTACTCCTTGACCAGATCAGGCACCTGCGGGCGAGAAACAGAGACATCACTCAAGGGTTGACATCCTGTAACATACTTAAAAGCAGCGCAGTCACTCCCCTTGCAGAAGGATAAAAATAATGACGAGAAGCCTGCAGTCAGAATAAACAGCCCCCAAAACCAGTAAAAAAAACAAGTAAGAAAGGCAGCATTCCAGCGCCTACCACCTCTATAACCCCAAACCAATCCATGATGCGAGCAAAGCCTGAAATGGAGGAGGCACTCCTGAGTGAATGCACCAACAACCAGGCTCTTGCAGGTACGTCTCTAAGCAAAGTCGCCAGGTGGAAACTTCAGGGAGCTCGAGCGAAATAGCAATTCCTCCCTAGGGTTTTGCCAGTGATGAAGATATGTCTCCAGTGAGACAGAAAAAGACAGATGTCTTTGTTATTAATGGCAAAACAGGCAGGAGGTCGCAAAGCAACAGCAGCAAGCAAATTTGAACCTGGGTCCAAGTATGCTGTGCAAAATTCAAAAGCTGTTCAGAGCACGCTTGGGCGTGAAGTTTCCTTGGATAATGATAATCTTAGGTTCAACCTCTGGGCATTGGTCGAAGCAGGGACTGTAGTTGCACGTCGTGCAGTAGGGGAGAGCAATCAGCGTCCACTAGGCGTAAAAATCCGGCAATACAGATTTGAAACCTTACGGGCGGAGGAATTTCCCTTTTGCATGATTTCATACAGAAGTCAAGCAAAAGTGGATTGTTCCATTGGATATCCATCCTGACATCCATCCCCATGAAGATTTCTGTCTGGCTTGACCAGCTTAAAAGTTTACCTTGAGGAGTGAAATGAAGACGGAAAAAAATTACCTTGGAGAGCTCCTGATGGCCTCTGGGCCTATGCTCAAGAAGGTGGCAGACATATTTTGACACGGCATAGGTTAACATCAGACAAGCCACCACAAAAAGGGTACTTTTGAAGGGGGAAGATTCACCCAATTTTAGTGAGTCCAAAGCAAGCTGTGAACAATTTTGTTTGAAAAATAGCGATGCCCGTATAAAAAAAGAGCAAGTTGCAGGACGCATTCACCGCATGTTTCCAACCAATTGCTGTTCCAAAAAAGAAATTCTAAAACGGAACCGCAATATTTTTTGGGACCATGAATCACATTTCCAACGCATGGTTCCGGAACTAAGCTTTAATTGATTGATGGATGGATTGATTGATTGATGGTGTGTGTGTGTGTGTGTGTGTGTGTGTGTGTGTGTGTGTGTGTGTGTGTGT